TTCATTCAATCGGCTTAAATCTCTAATCTCGACTCAAGAGTGACTTATTAGTTAAAGGACTTTCCTCGTAAAATAGTAACCATTGACAGAAGTGAAAACATACGAATAATTTGGCATCGATCGTTAACTTTATTCATTAAATTCTCAAGGAAATATATAAAGAACTAATATTTTTAATATTACAAATTTAAATACAAAATTATTTGACTTACTTGGCGACAACATCTATTGATCCATTCGATGGAGACGATTTAGTTCGAGGTATATGTTGTTCTTTTTCAACTACTTCCTCAATATGTTTATTTAACTCAACCAATTTTGGATCACGTTCATCACGTGGTTTACCTATGGTTTATAAATTATACAATATTTTTTTCAGCAAAACAAAAAAAAAAAAGTCGTTTACCACAACCAAAAATACTCGCATTTCGTGTTGCTGGTTCTGTTGTTTGATTATCATCGGTTGATGATGAAAGTTTTTGTGAACGAGGTAATAAATGTAAACGTGGTCGAGTTTCTATATTTTAATTATAAATATCAAACAAAACAAAATAAAAAAAAAAAAAAAAAGAAACAAGATTTTACCAGATGATACTGAATTATTATTAATATCATTCGAACTATCACTAGTTCCTTTTTTTCTATGTCCATTATTATCATTATAATTTCGACTATTATTTGATCTATTAGAATTTAATCGTTGTCGTGATCCTGATGATTGTTGTTGTCGATTATTATTGTTGTTATTATTATTATTATTATTATTATTATTATTATTATTATTATTATTATTCATACGATATGATGAACCCATATGAATTTGATGTTGATGATAAAATTGTTGAGAATGATTTATATATTGTGTTGGAAGTTGTTCATAATAATTACGTCCACCAACTATTTGTGACATTCCATCACGATGATGATTACCATTATTACGATTACGATTAAATTGATTACCCATAGAACGTGATGATGATGATGATTGTTGATTTGTACGAGATTTTACATTTTTATTACGAACAATCTAGAATAATATTTTGTTGTTTTTTAATAATTAAACAAAAAAAAAATTTTTTTCTATACTTGAAAATCATCACTAATAAATGTATTATTAACACTTGGTGGTGGTGATGGTTCAGTAACAGTTTCATCAATAGGACAATCAGCCCAATTACGACTTTCTTGTCGAGCAAATGTTGTTGTTATAGTTTGATCATTATGTGTTTGATTAATTGTATCTTCATTTGATGCTGGTGTATCAGGTCCAATAAAAACATCATCATTAGATATTTTATGTTGTTGACTTTGACTATGATGATATTCATGAATTTTACCTGAAGTTGATGAACGATAATTTCCTTTATTAAAAGATTCTAAATAAAAATTTGAAAGGTAAAAAAAAAGATCTTATTTTCTTTTTAATCTTTTACCATCTTTATATCCATCTTCAACATAACCATCAGTAACATTTTGAGAAGTGTCTTGTTGATTATAATTATTATAATTATTATTATTACGACGTCCACCTTGACGAAATCTATCATTCGATCGATTATTATTATTATTATTATTATTATTATTATTATTATTATTTCCTGATGGATGACGGCGACCATCGCGAGATTCAAAACCAGCTAGAAAAAAAATATATATTAAAGAATTCTTGCTTAGGAGAATTATTCTTGTTGTCAGAAGTCAAAGTACTTAGAATGCAAGATGAAAGTTATGTGATTTTCAGTTATCATTAGTCAAAACTTGAAGGGATATTTTCATAAGCAAAATCTTCTTTTGAAAAAACTCTGCAGGTCGGTTTTTTTTCATTGAATCTGTAAAAGAAAAAAAACGTTGTATTCCCAAAAATCTGACATACTAATCTATTAATTGTTTTCTACAGAATTAGATGTAATTTAAAGTTTATTTTCGCTTCGGTCCAGAATTTCGGACGATTTTTCAGAAGATCTAGGATTTCATATTGTCTTCTCAGGTACCTTCAGAAAGGCATCAAACTGAGTCTTATGACTATGTTAGTTATCAAAAAAAAAATATACTACATTTTATATGCAGCACACCGTCAAGCTCAATAAAAGCTTTAGAAAATAAATTCGTTTTCAAAAAGTTTTTCAGAAATCTTGCTAACTAATAGGATTGATTGCGTTTGTTATAACGACGAAATTTTTCTAACTGGTCAATCACTTTTGAATTCGTACTGTATGCATAAGGTAGACTCTAATGACACATGAAAAAAACCTGCAAAGAATAAGTTCTCTTAAGCCTTCTGTTCAGAATTATAGGCATTTCACTGGAATTTTAGTCTCTGTTATGATATATATACCAACAAATCGAATCACGGTATTTCGACATGAGATTTTTCACATAGACAGATGTATTTATCAGTATAGCGTCCTGAAAATTTCAACTCTATTGAGTTGATATTTTGCCCATAAGTAGAGCTAGGCGAACTATGATAAACCTCTAAAGAGTTTATGCCCATGAAAGTTACTTGTCAAGTTTTGAATTGTTCGCAATGCTGAATAGTGTACATTCGACTTCATATGAAAATCGTGAAAATGAATAGTTTATATTCTAATAGAAATGATACTAAAGAAAAAACGTTTGAAAGTCTACTATAATCTAGTTTTCATTAAATTCACTATCAAAAAGATTTGCAGTCTCCTATCTTTTAATAATTACCAAAAAGTATTTGACATTACTTTCATATGCATGAAAAATACTCAAACATTTTAAAACTTGTCAAGTAATGCTCATGGGTACAAATCCTTTGAAGGTCTTTCATAGCTTACTAAGGCCAACTTATAGATGAAATATCAACTCAAAAAGAATGCGAACACCTTAGGCTGTTCTCTCGACAGTTTGATCGACAATCTATTCTTTGATGTCTGTCTGAAGACGTCTGACGAAATAATAATGAAATCTTAGGCCTTCTCAAAACCGTTACAGAGAAAAAA